CCCGCAGTAAAAGTAGCCGGAGAATAGCTCGAGACGCCTCCTACCGAATATCTCCCGCTCGGTAGTCCTTATACCTTACTATACCCGTATCTACTCCGTCTCTGCCCTCCTCGGGTATCTAGCAAACGTATACCTCTCGTCGTCCCTTACCCCGAAATATAATACGTACCTCTTACGTCGCCCGTGAAGCTGCGCGAGAAATACTTCTATTTCGCTAGCCTTGCCTATCTTCTCTACCCTAACTCTCTATTAGTCTAGCTTTATATACCTATCTAGCATATGGAACGCTGCCCGGCCTCCTTTATTATCTTCTGCTATACTGTCCTCGCTATTATAGCCGAGAACGAACCTTAATCTTAACCCTGATCGCCCCCGCGGTAGACGTCGTATACTTCTTCGTCCTCTTTATAGCTAGAACGGTTACTTCTCCCGTTTATTATTCGGTCGAGAACGACCCGTCTTATTCGTCGCCGGCGAGATACTCTTCTATTCCGCCTCCTGTTGCGATCCGCTGCTGTTGCCGCTGCGGCGTACTACGACTAATGCGCTCGGCTGCCCGTCGCGCCCCGCTCGCCCGCTCTCCTGCACGAATCGGCGGAGTCCCGTTGGCATGTCGGCGTGGATCACGAGCCGTACGTCCGGGATATCGATGCCCAGTCCTAATGCGTTCGTCGCCACTACGACGCCCTCGGCCCCGTTGCTTTGACGCCACGCCTCGAGCCGAGCCGTCTTGCCCTCTGTCGAGTCGACGTCGCTGAAGAACGTGGCGCACCCCAGCACTGATCCTAAACGCTCTACCCGCTCGATTGACGTGGCGTATACCACCGCCTTGCCTCGCCCGCCGCTGGCCAGAAGCTCACGTACCCACTGGACTGCTACCCGGCATACCTCGGCCTCAACCGTGTCAAGTGTCTTGAGCGCCGCGTCATCTTCGTCTTGTTCTGCGCCACCGTCGTCCTCGTCACTGATCCTGTCGCTTGCTATGACGACGGAATATCCTATGTTCTTGCGCGTCGTTGCTGTTCGGAACATGCTTACACGACTTGCCTCTAGTCGCATCGCGTGGAAGAATACTACTTCGTCCCTTAGCGTAAGCGTCGCTATTAAGTATATCGTTTATATACCGAACTTGCGAATCGCCTCCCCGAGCTCGCTAAGCCGTGGCCGGAAGCTCTGTAAACCCTTTAGTATATATAGTACTCGTTTATAACGACGCGGTCTAGCGCCTACCTCCTTTCTAGCCGTACGATAAAGTCTCTAAACCCCTTTATAACGGCTAACTCGACCGTAACGAAGATGATGGACGCCGCCTGGTTGTTCTTCCGGCTCTGCTATAGTGCGATATGATCCCCGCCTTGACGTATCGCCTATGCAGATCCGTCCGCAGCGCTACCAGCGGCGTCACAACCACCGTCACCCCGTCCGGCGAGCAGAACGCCGGCAACATGAACGAGACGCTCTTGCCGCCGCCCGTCCCCATTACCTACACGATCGGCGTATACCCGCTGGCGATGGCGAGCACCGCTTCTCTCTAGTTTCCGCGGAACCCCGCCGAGTCGTCCCCGTCATCTACCGTAGCTAGCCCTCTAAGTCTATCCTCCTTAGCTTCTCGAACCGTCGGAGCCTCGCCTCGAGCCGTGGCCCTTCGTACGCCTCCGTCTTTTTCCTCTTATATCCCGCGGAGTCCTATTTCGACTCCGAATCCTCGGCGCCGAACCTTAAAAACCTATACTACTAACGGCTAACTCTACGGAACTATTATTACCTCGCCGCGAGACCACTACCGAACTATATAAGCTCTCGTACGTAGATCATGCCCACTAGCCGCGTACTATATCCCGCCTATAAGTCCTACGGGCTATCCTCGACCTCGTCTATTCCCTCGTCCGACCCCAAGCCTTCGTCGTCTCCACCCGGCCGGCCAAACGACTCGTTCAAGTAGCGGTTAGCAATACCGATGGCTATATACTGCCATATACTTACGTTAACTTAGCATCCTAGCAGCCTCATACTAGTGCGCTGTATAATCCGCCGCGCCCTATCTGTCGTCTACGTTCGCTTATCTTTCTACGTCTAGTCGCCTACGTATGTGCTCTTATCCCCTGCCTCGTCTGTATTTATACTGCGATTGTTGCTATCCCTGACGTTTGTGTTATCCCTCCGTTCTTCCAATACTGCTGCCGTCCTGCTTTCTTCCGGGTCCATCTGCCGAATAATGTCGTCTGCCCATAAGAACGCGCTGTATCCGCTGGCCTCGTACATGATGCCCTGCACCTCCTGCCAGAATGGCAAGATGAGCCACAGATACTATATGATGAGCTCGCCGACCTCCCTCGGCAGATAGCGGTGGATCACCTTCGCCTGGCCTGTCGTCCGGTACCCTTTATAGTACGCCGTAACGAAGCATAATATCTTATTATATACTAATATGTTGCGGACGCTCCTGTTGACCGTATTGACCGTCTGTAGACCTACAAGCTCGCTCGCCCGCACCGGCTGCCCGCTAAGCATATGTAGAAGTATCCATAGTCGCTCGCGGAGTCGTTCAAATGTCCTCTCGAACTCCTGCACAGCTGACGGCTAGAACGGTCGGTCTATTGACCTATAATCGTTACTTATGCTGCTCAGTCCCCAGCGCTCTGCTGCGGCGGGTAACTGCGCCAGCCGTATAAACAGCCAGCCGTCCCCGCTAGAAACCTAACTATTACGGTCGTCGGTAAGAAATGAGTAGCCCGGCTTCGTCTCGCTGTAGTCGTCTTCGATCGATGACCATGGGATGGCTGGCAGCTGGGACCGCACGTCACTTTCGGGACCGTCTGGCAAACCTGAATCCTCCGTCGCCGTCAGCTCTACGAGTAGCTCCCGCGTCTCTCGGACCAGCTCGTACAGTGCGTCTGACAGCTGCCCCATCGTGAACCGTACCCGTCTATATAACACGCGATCGCCCACCCAGTCCATGACACCCGCCGCTGCTGTGTTGTATTGGATATGCATCCCGTACGTCCACGTCTCGAGAATCCAGTCCATCGGCGTCGGCTCTGCGTCCTTCTCGCCCGTCGTACGCGTCATGAACCGCCGTATCTTTACCCACATATACTAGAACAAGCTCTGCGCCGCCTTCTCTACTTCATCCTTCCCTAGAGATCTTTCTAGCTCGGTAACCTTATTATACCGCTCGGTATATACCTAATAAATCACTAGCATATACGCTACCTTAATAACGGCTAAGTACTTTATTATATAGTCTATAATCTAAACCTAGCCGCTATCCTCGGTAATGCCTATTACCGCGAGTATGCTAAAAAAAAGCACTACTATAATCTCCGCCCTTCAGCTAGTAGTCCAGTATGCTGATGAGTATATTAAACGCTGTGCGTTCTAGCTTCTCCGGCGTTTGGTGCCCCGTCCCCGTGCTAGCTACTTCCGCTATCTGCTCGAACGAGTCCCACGCTTCTCCCTATAACGACGTTAGTTTATACGGTAGCCGCTTGTCGTCGTCCATTAAACCCTTATTACCTTCTTTAATAATCCTTATTCTTATTATATTTCTAGAAATACCCTACTATTTGAATACTGTTTATGACCCCTCTTAACTCTAACTATCTCTATTACCTTTATCCTCTTTTCTACTATTTCTTTACTTTTTTATAATCTTTATAAGTAATCTAATAAAAAGTATAACTAATAAATACTAGTACTGAGTTTAACTCCTATCCTCTATTTAGTCTACTACTTAAGTTTTAAAATATAAGACCCTAAGATACTCATACTAGTACTAACCCTAAGATCCTTATATAATATCTACCTAAATACGTTCTAAATCCTCTTCCTAGAGCATATATATCACCTTACATAACCGACTACTCTGTATCCCACCCCATAAAATCAGTCTGCCTAACTAGATATGCTAATCGTCCTTCGTAACTAACGCCCTTACCTCCCCCTCCTCCTCCATCACCCTTTGCTTTACCCTCTCTACCCCGTCCGGGTCCGTTCGTACTATACCCTACCCGTATATCTCGAGTAGTCGCCCACCGTATGGGTAACTTCGGTCCGTCGCCCTACTATAACGCTCCCCCTCCTTATCCCGGCTATCCTAAGCCTTATATATCTCCTGAGTAGCCCGTACTCGAAGCATGTAGAAAAGTCCTCTAGCCGCTTCTTCCTAAATATCTCCTGATGCGCTAGCTCGATACCCTTCTCGATATCCGCCCAGTCTTCCGCCCGTCCGCGCTCTCTATACTCCGCCGACCGGTGCTCGTGGGCCTGCTCTTGGTACTAGCAGTATATGCACTATTGACCCTATGTCCCAGTAGTCTCCGGAATCTCTCCACTTGCTCCGCCTCCCTCATCCGCTCCTTCTCGAGCCCGCGCCGTATTATTACCGTCTACCGCTCGCCGTCCTCGAAAGCTCTTATGCACCCCTCGGGCACCGTCTCCTCCGCCGCTCCTTGCTCTAGCATACCGTCTATATCCTCCGCCTACCTCCGCCGCTAGCACCTGTCGCACTACGCCTCCCCCGCTTCGCACCATAACCGGTCCGTCCTTCCGTCTATTACCCGGTCGAGCACTACCCGCCGGCACTCGCTCGTTCGTATGAACTCGTCTGCTGGCCCGCTGTCTTGTCTGCCGCTGCCGCCTCGCCCTGGTCCTGCCGCTGCTGCTGCCGCCGCCCGGCAGACTACGACCGACCTACTTAGCCCTCCGTCCCGCCCTGCTCGACTGCTCTCTTATATAAAACGTGGAAGCTGCCGCGGTATGTCCGCGTGCACTACTAGCCGTACGTCCGGTATATCGATGCCGAGCCCTAGCGCGTTCGTTGCGACCACTAGCCACCCTCAGCCCCGCTACCCCGTCGCCATGCCGCCAGTCGATCCGCCTTGCCCTGGCTCGTATCGATGTCGCTATAGAACCCCGGACATCCTAGCGCCGCGCTTAACCGCTCTACCCTCTTTATCGATATGCGTAGATAATTACCTTACCCGGCTGCCCGTTAGCGAGCTACCCTTCCGCGGCGCGGTAATACGCTTCGTCAATACTATTAAACTCCCTGCTCCCCTTCCCGCCCTGGCCGCGTCTGCCGGTGCGTTGAGACGAGCTCCGCCCGCCGTACCCATCTACCCTTACGATGCTATACTCAATATTCCTCCTACTTATCGGGGCCCGGAATAGTTACGTCCGGTTACGATCTATCCCTATAAGCCCGAAGAATGCCTTCTCGTCGCCCGGCGCTAACGTGGCCGTTAAGTATACGATCTGTACCCCGAACTCTCGTATCGCTGCGCTAACCTCGCGTAGCTTCGGCCGGAACGACCGGGTCCCCTCTAGTATAACGTAGCATTCGTCAACTACGACGCGGTCGAGCGCTTGTCGTGACGTAAGCCGTGCTATGAAGTCCTGGAAGCCTTTATTGACGGCGGACTCGGGCGTAACGAAGATGATGGATGCGGCCTGGTTGTTCTTATGGCTAAGCTATATATGGGAGGCGATCCCTAATTTAGTATACCGCGCCTCTAAGTCGGTCCGAAGCGCGGTAAGTGGTGTAATAACTACCGTTACGCCGTCCGGTGAGCAGAACGCTGATAGCATAAACGATAAACTCTTACCGCTGCCCGTGCGAACCGCCGTAGCCGGGCCTCGAGACGGACGCCGTCGTAGAGCTCTACCTTTCGCTTCGAGCCGCTGCGGTAACCGTCGCTCGCCCCGGTCCTCGTCCCCAAACCCCAAGAACCGATGCCACTGCGAGCTGACCTTACGAAACTGCTGCTGCTTAGCCGCTACCCCCGCTACCGAACTGGACTAGTAGCCGCCCATAGATCATACCGGCGATCCGCGTCCCGTGCCCGGCTTATAGATCCCACGGGCTATCACCGAGCTCGTCTTCGTCCTCGTCGTCTCCCTTCTTCCCTAGATCCCACCCGCCCGAACGCCTCGTGTAAGAATCGGTTGGCGATAGCGATGGCAATATGCCGCCACATGCTCACGTTCAGCTTGTTACCGAGTAGCCGGCCTACTGTGCCGTTATATAATTCGCCTAGCCCGGTCCGTCGTCCA